CCGCGTTCAGGCCAAGATTATTGGATTCTGGCCGCTACAGTACTCAACAACCCGTCACTGCTGTACCTGGCAATCGCAAGGTGTTCCTTGAGTCAATTCCGGACGGGGAAGGTGACATGTCCATGGATCCAACCTCAGATACCAAGCAAGTCCCTCTTGATGTTATTTCATGCCGTGGCTCTGATAATGGTACAGTTATTGACTATAGTAAGACTAGTCCTTGTAGGACCTCTGCTCAGTTGAAGGTACGACAGTTGGATGAAAGGCAAGAGTTGGAACTTCGTGAATTCAAGGCTAAACAAAGACAGGAAAGGTTGCGTCTGCATAAAGAACTCAACTTAGATGTGAATGGGGGTTTAGGTGATACCTTTTCCTTGGATGATGATATAAAGTGTCACAAATCAGTTTGTCTTGGCATTGACCCTCATAGCAGTTCTGATCGTGAAACGACTAGCCAGGCGAGCAGCGCAGAAAACAAAGGGGTTGCCGCTACGTTGCCTTGTGTCAGTGTTGGCCATGAGTTGCCGAAAGTAGAATTAAGCAGCTTTGACGGACATCCAGCCAAATATTGGAAGTTTATGAGGCAGTTTGAGCTCTACGTTGTCTCTAAGGTTGATGATGATGGACAGAGGCTGTTATACTTGTTACATTACTGTAAAGGTAAGGCCAGGGAGGCTATAGAGGAATGCATTATGTTACCACCATCTGCTGGTTATCGTAGGGCTCGGGATATACTCAACGTTTGTTTGGAAGGACTCATGAAGTCAGCCGGGCCTTACTACAGGATCTGATGGAATGCTCGAACATAGAACAAAACGATGCTGAGGCAATGTCGAGGTTAGCTATAAAAATGGAAAACTGCGCTATAGCCCTAGAGCAAATGGACTATACTGCGGACCTTAACTCCTTGAGAACTTTAGAAGGTATAGTAAAGAAATTGCCCCGTGTGTTACAGATGAAATGGGCGGAGACTGTCGAAAAGCTAACTGAAACCGAACGAGAACCTACCTTCGCAGAGTTAACGCAGTTTGTGTCAGCACGTGCGAGCATTTTGCTAAGTAGGTTTGGACAGCTGGCAACAAGCAGTCGACGACCAGATAGTAAAATAGCATGTTCCACGCAGCAGCTAGTACCCGTTGGGGGAGTCCTGAAACCTTCATGTATATTTTGTGGAGGGAACCATGTAGTCACAAAATGTACCACATTTCTGTCGTTACCGGTGGATGAGAGATGGTCGAAGGCTAAAGAAACAGGTTGTTGTTTTTCATGTCTTAAAAGGGGCCACAGGTCCGTAGAATGTAAAATTCACAGGGTGTGCAGTGTAGAAGGTTGTAAAGCATACCATCACCCTCTGTTACACAAGAAGACCCACCACGCCGTAGGCGAACAACCGGAGAAAGGTAGTTGTGGATGCACTGAGTCTCTCAGAGAAAGCGTGTGTTTGGGCCTACTCCCGGTACGTGTAAAGCACGGTAATAAAGAGGTTTACGGTTATGCTATCTTGGACAATGGCTCTGATACAACTTTGATCACGAAAAATGTTTTGCAACTTCTAGGATTGTCGACTGACGGCACAAAGACTATCATCAAAACTGTTAGTGGAAGTAGATTGGCGGACTCAGTCAGCAAGCCTTTCGAAGTTTATTCACTAGACGGAAACGAATGCATACTTATAGATCGAGCAGTTGTGGCAAGAGATCTCCCAGTACGGAGACCTAAAGGGTCGATGCGAGAAAGTATTAAAAGGTGGCCGCATCTGACTGACGTACCCTGGACAGAGGTGGAAGACGGGGAGGTATTGCTGCTCATCGGTTGCGATGTACCTGAGGCTCACTGGGTTCTAGATCAGAAGTTAGGGGGCAGAAAGAGCCCATATGCTGTGAGATCATTGTTGGGCTGGGTCGTGTTCGGTCCGACAAGCTTTCGTGAGCACAGGGAGAGGGTTGTGAATTGTATGTCTCGGTCAGATCTATTAGTCGATCAATGGAAGAAAATTTACGATTATGAGTTCAGCGATTTGTACTCGGGAGATAAGTCGTTATCTGTCGATGACCTAGCCGCTGTAAACATAGTGCAGCGAGGTACTTATTGGGATAATGGACATTTCGTTGTCCCCTTGCCCTGGAAAATGGAGTCCAAGAGAGTATACGGTGGATGCGAAGTAGCCAGGCGACGTTTGGAGAGTTTGAAACGCAGACTAATATCCTCGGAAAGCCTTCGCGAAAGCTACACTAGCGCCATGGAAGAGACCATCAGAAAGGGATATGCAGCAGTAGCTCCTGAGCCCCAGCTTAATCCTAGCTACCGCCCACGATGGTATTTGCCGCATCATGCCGTATTTAACCCCAAGAAACCGGGGAAGGTAAGAGTTGTGCTGGACTGCGCTGCCAAACTGTCCGGAACTTCTTTAAATGACTTCCTGTATCAGGGACCAGACACGACAGCGAACTTGGTTGGAATATTATTGCGTTTTCGCAAAGAACTGATTGCCCTGACGTCCGATGTGGAAGAAATGTTTATGCAGGTGAAAGTCCCAGAGTTTGACCGAGGTGCTCTGCGGTTCCTATGGTGGCCTCAGGGTGATTTCTCGAAGGAACCTATTGAATATCAAATGACGTCACACCCATTCGGTGCAGTGTCCTCACCGTTTTGTGCGTATTTTGCAATGGCCAAGACTGCCGAGACGTATGCCAACGATTATGATAGTTATGTGGTGGAAGCAGTGAAGCATAACTTTTATGTTGATGATTGCCTAGTGTCCTTTGCAAGCCCAGGTGAGGCAAAAACGTTCGTAAAACAGTCCACTGAGTTGTTGTTACGTGGTGGCTTTAAATTGAAGAAGTGGGTGACTAATTCAGAGGCAGTGAGAGTAGTTCTTCCTGGTCTGAGCCACACAGAGAACTCAGTCGACTTACGTGTTAGTCAAGGCTCAATCCACAGGGCCCTAGGTTTGGAATGGGACACCATGCATGATGTTTTTAAGTTCCGATTTGAACCCGTCGAAAAACCCTTCACGAAGAGAGGACTACTATCCACCGTCTCAGCTCTTTTTGACCCACTAGGCCTCATCGCCCCAGTTTGTCTTCCGGCCAAGCAGCTATTGCAGAATCTTTGCAAATCTCATGCTGGTTGGGATACACCCCTGAGTTCCAATGACCTATCCCTATGGATGGATTGGATGAGGTTCATGAAGAATCTTGGGCAAATCTCCGTACCCAGAAGTATCAAGAAGGAGGATAAGAGTGAGATGAGTAAGATTGAGTTGCACTTATTTTGCGATGCCTCTGAATCTGGTTATGGAGCGGTGGCTTATTCGTGGAACGTTCCAAAAAACACGCCACCCTACAGCATACTGCTTTATAGCAAATCCCGGGTTGCCCCTCTGAAAACGGTGACAGTGCCGAGATTAGAGTTAGCTGCGGCAGTATTGAGTGCACGAATGAGTGAAATTTTGAGGAAGAACCTCCCAAATAGCTTTGACAAGACTTATTTTTGGACAGATTCTATGATTGTTTTGTACTATATTAGAAATACAGAGAGTCGGTATAGTACGTTTGTGGCCAACCGTCTAGCCATTATTCACCAGTATTCATCCCCAAATCAGTGGGGGTACGTTAAATCTGAAGAGAATCCCGCAGATTGGACATCAAGAGGCATACGAAAAGCGTGTGAATTAGCGTCTTGGATTCAGGGCCCCTCTTTTCTGGGAACCCGACAGTTTTCAAGTACCACAGACCTCTGCTGGAAGGAACCACCGAAAAATGTCGAATTGAAGAGGTCGGTCCGAACAAACACAAACGTTACTGAGCTCACTGCTGATCCGATTTTGGCGTATCATTCGGACTGGGTGAGGCTGATTAAAGCTGTGGCATGGCTTAAGAGATATGTGGTCTACATATCCGTTATGTATTCGCGTCGCCAAGGTGTGTCACTGAATGTTGGCTATCTAACAGCCGATGAACTGGAAGCTGCTAGACATAAAGTATTATGTATGGTACAACAGGAGGTATATGGAGAATTAATAAAGGAACTCCGAGAAAAGGGTAGTTGTGAGACTGAAGAAGGTGAATTGCAAAGGTTGTCACCTATACTTGTGGATGGATTGGTCTGCGTCGGTGGGAGGTTGAACTATTCCGACTACCCACTTACTTTTAAGCATCCGGTTATCCTCCCCAGACATCACTTCGTGACTGAGCTGATCATAAGGCATTATCATATTATAGAAGGACATACTGGTACTTCGCAAGTCCTGGCCACTCTACGAAGAAACTATTGGATAATTAAGGGGATCAGTGCGGTCAAACGGGTGATAAGAAAGTGCATAGAGTGCCGACGATTGAAAGCTGCACTGGGTCAGCAGATGATGGCCCCTTTACCGGTCTGTCGCGTGCAGAAAGGATGGTTTTGCTTCTCATCAGTGGGAATTGATTATTTTGGACCACTCATGGTTCGCCAGGGAAGGAGAGAGGAAAAGAGGTACGGGTGTGTGTTTACTTGTCTCCAGACGCGAGCCATACATTTAGAGGTAGCTTTCAACCTAGGCACCGACGCCTTTATAATGGCTGTAATGAGGTTCATAGGAAGAAGAGGAACACCTGCAGAGATATACAGTGATAATGGTTCCAACTTTGTTGGAGCGATTTCGGAACTAAGACAACTGGTGAGTGTGTGGGATAGACGACGAATCAATGATGCCATGGTGTCAAAGGGGATACGATGGAGTTTCAACCCCCCGCAAGCGAGTCATCGAGGTGGGATATGGGAAAGGATGATACGTTCTGTACGCAGGTTATTGATGGTCATATCCAAAGAGCAGACTCTGCATGATGATACATTAGCCACCTACTTCGTGGAAATAGAAAGAATTTTGAACAATCGTCCTATTGTTCCCATGACGACCGACCCAAAAGACGAGTTAGCTCTCACTCCCAATAGCTTATTGTTATTGAGAGATAGTGGAGGAATAGTCGTGGAGGGCACTATTGCCGATAATTACGTCAGACGTTGGAAACAAGTTAATTACTTAGCTGACGTATTTTGGCGCCGATGGATGAAAGAGTATCTACCATGCTTGCAAACTCGTCAGAAGTGGTTGGGAAGGAAAAGAAATTTCAAGGAGGGAGATGTGGTGATTGTGGCCTCTGAAAAAACACCACGTGGTTCCTGGCCTTTGGGAGTGATCGAAACATGCGAGAAGGACGAAGACGATTTAGTAAGAACTGTGATGGTGCGTATGAAGGAAGGTACCGTGAGAAGAGATATAAGAAAGCTTTGTCTTCTTGAGGGAGTAGAAGAAAGATAGAGTATGCAGACAGCTAGGTAGATAGAGCCACGGCTGAATACACAGAGGTGTTTTGCGTGTCTGGAGGGATTTTGGTGGCCGGTGTAAAGGAAAAATGATCTGAAAATCCCTCCCGATCACCCTTATTTGATTGTATTGACATTTATTTTAACATTTTTACCCTCGTTATGGATGGTGTACCTTTGACCCTCGCCGGTGTAATGTTATTTGCTTGTTTAACTGTCTTATTTGACTTTACACTCGGTATTTGCCTTTGTATGTTTGAGACTTATTATGAGTGTTTCACTTTCCTATTATGTGACGCTGGACTGTTGATAAGGTGATGTTGTTTTACTGCGCACGACATTTTGTTTTGGTTCAACTTACGGTTGTGCAGTGATTTGACTGTTTGTCTTTTGACTGTCTACTGGGAACGTTTGTTTGTTGATTTGATTCCTGTAGGCAGAGTTTTGATCCCTTTTGCCGGGAATATTCCTATTGACCGACAGGTATTTAACAGTTGTATTTTTTAACCAGTTTTTACCGTGTAGTACGTATTTGTACCCGAGAACGTTTTGGACTGTATAGTTACCCAACGGCACTGTTGAGGTATTTTTGTAATTTGACATAACTTATTGTTGCTTTGATAGTACCACAGATTTTGTTACGAATCTACTATTGAATTACTACAAACCGTGTTTTGATATTTCGATCCAACCTTTGACTGTGCGTCACTCGCGGAAGTTAGGAAGCTATACAGTAGAACGCAGGAACTAGTCAGATTCACGTCAGTTGGCACCGCCTAGCTATTTCCCGCGTTCAGGCCAAGATTATTGGATTCTGGCCGCTACAGTACTCAACAACCCGTCACTGCTGTACCTGGCAATCGCAAGGTGTTCCTTGAGTCAATTCCGGACGGGGAAGGTGACATGTCCATGGATCCAACCTCAGATACCAAGCAAGTCCCTCTTGATGTTATTTCATGCCGTGGCTCTGATAATGGTACAGTTATTGACTATAGTAAGACTAGTCCTTGTAGGACCTCTGCTCAGTTGAAGGTACGACAGTTGGATGAAAGGCAAGAGTTGGAACTTCGTGAATTCAAGGCTAAACAAAGACAGGAAAGGTTGCGTCTGCATAAAGAACTCAACTTAGATGTGAATGGGGGTTTAGGTGATACCTTTTCCTTGGATGATGATATAAAGTGTCACAAATCAGTTTGTCTTGGCATTGACCCTCATAGCAGTTCTGATCGTGAAACGACTAGCCAGGCGAGCAGCGCAGAAAACAAAGGGGTTGCCGCTACGTTGCCTTGTGTCAGTGTTGGCCATGAGTTGCCGAAAGTAGAATTAAGCAGCTTTGACGGACATCCAGCCAAATATTGGAAGTTTATGAGGCAGTTTGAGCTCTACGTTGTCTCTAAGGTTGATGATGATGGACAGAGGCTGTTATACTTGTTACATTACTGTAAAGGTAAGGCCAGGGAGGCTATAGAGGAATGCATTATGTTACCACCATCTGCTGGTTATCGTAGGGCTCGGGATATACTCAACGTTTGTTTGGAAGGACTCATGAAGTCAGCCGGGCCTTACTACAGGATCTGATGGAATGCTCGAACATAGAACAAAACGATGCTGAGGCAATGTCGAGGTTAGCTATAAAAATGGAAAACTGCGCTATAGCCCTAGAGCAAATGGACTATACTGCGGACCTTAACTCCTTGAGAACTTTAGAAGGTATAGTAAAGAAATTGCCCCGTGTGTTACAGATGAAATGGGCGGAGACTGTCGAAAAGCTAACTGAAACCGAACGAGAACCTACCTTCGCAGAGTTAACGCAGTTTGTGTCAGCACGTGCGAGCATTTTGCTAAGTAGGTTTGGACAGCTGGCAACAAGCAGTCGACGACCAGATAGTAAAATAGCATGTTCCACGCAGCAGCTAGTACCCGTTGGGGGAGTCCTGAAACCTTCATGTATATTTTGTGGAGGGAACCATGTAGTCACAAAATGTACCACATTTCTGTCGTTACCGGTGGATGAGAGATGGTCGAAGGCTAAAGAAACAGGTTGTTGTTTTTCATGTCTTAAAAGGGGCCACAGGTCCGTAGAATGTAAAATTCACGGGGTGTGCAGTGTAGAAGGTTGTAAAGCATACCATCACCCTCTGTTACACAAGAAGACCCACCACGCCGTAGGCGAACAACCGGAGAAAGGCAGTTGTGGATGCACTGAGTCTCTCAGAGAAAGCGTGTGTTTGGGCCTACTCCCGGTACGTGTAAAGCACGGTAATAAAGAGGTTTACGGTTATGCTATCTTGGACAATGGCTCTGATACAACTTTGATCACGAAAAATGTTTTGCAACTTCTAGGATTGTCGACTGACGGCACAAAGACTATCATCAAAACTGTTAGTGGAAGTAGATTGGCGGACTCAGTCAGCAAGCCTTTCGAAGTTTATTCACTAGACGGAAACGAATGCATACTTATAGATCGAGCAGTTGTGGCAAGAGATCTCCCAGTACGGAGACCTAAAGGGTCGATGCGAGAAAGTATTAAAAGGTGGCCGCATCTGACTGACGTACCCTGGACAGAGGTGGAAGACGGGGAGGTATTGCTGCTCATCGGTTGCGATGTACCTGAGGCTCACTGGGTTCTAGATCAGAAGTTAGGGGGCAGAAAGAGCCCATATGCTGTGAGATCATTGTTGGGCTGGGTCGTGTTCGGTCCGACAAGCTTTCGTGAGCACAGGGAGAGGGTTGTGAATTGTATGTCTCGGTCAGATCTATTAGTCGATCAATGGAAGAAAATTTACGATTATGAGTTCAGCGATTTGTACTCGGGAGATAAGTCGTTATCTGTCGATGACCTAGCCGCTGTAAACATAGTGCAGCGAGGTACTTATTGGGATAATGGACATTTCGTTGTCCCCTTGCCCTGGAAAATGGAGTCCAAGAGAGTATACGGTGGATGCGAAGTAGCCAGGCGACGTTTGGAGAGTTTGAAACGCAGACTAATATCCTCGGAAAGCCTTCGCGAAAGCTACACTAGCGCCATGGAAGAGACCATCAGAAAGGGATATGCAGCAGTAGCTCCTGAGCCCCAGCTTAATCCTAGCTACCGCCCACGATGGTATTTGCCGCATCATGCCGTATTTAACCCCAAGAAACCGGGGAAGGTAAGAGTTGTGCTGGACTGCGCTGCCAAACTGTCCGGAACTTCTTTAAATGACTTCCTGTATCAGGGACCAGACACGACAGCGAACTTGGTTGGAATATTATTGCGTTTTCGCAAAGAACTGATTGCCCTGACGTCCGATGTGGAAGAAATGTTTATGCAGGTGAAAGTCCCAGAGTTTGACCGAGGTGCTCTGCGGTTCCTATGGTGGCCTCAGGGTGATTTCTCGAAGGAACCTATTGAATATCAAATGACGTCACACCCATTCGGTGCAGTGTCCTCACCGTTTTGTGCGTATTTTGCAATGGCCAAGACTGCCGAGACGTATGCCAACGATTATGATAGTTATGTGGTGGAAGCAGTGAAGCATAACTTTTATGTTGATGATTGCCTAGTGTCCTTTGCAAGCCCAGGTGAGGCAAAAACGTTCGTAAAACAGTCCACTGAGTTGTTGTTACGTGGTGGCTTTAAATTGAAGAAGTGGGTGACTAATTCAGAGGCAGTGAGAGTAGTTCTTCCTGGTCTGAGCCACACAGAGAACTCAGTCGACTTACGTGTTAGTCAAGGCTCAATCCACAGGGCCCTAGGTTTGGAATGGGACACCATGCATGATGTTTTTAAGTTCCGATTTGAACCCGTCGAAAAACCCTTCACGAAGAGAGGACTACTATCCACCGTCTCAGCTCTTTTTGACCCACTAGGCCTCATCGCCCCAGTTTGTCTTCCGGCCAAGCAGCTATTGCAGAATCTTTGCAAATCTCATGCTGGTTGGGATACACCCCTGAGTTCCAATGACCTATCCCTATGGATGGATTGGATGAGGTTCATGAAGAATCTTGGGCAAATCTCCGTACCCAGAAGTATCAAGAAGGAGGATAAGAGTGAGATGAGTAAGATTGAGTTGCACTTATTTTGCGATGCCTCTGAATCTGGTTATGGAGCGGTGGCTTATTCGTGGAACGTTCCAAAAAACACGCCACCCTACAGCATACTGCTTTATAGCAAATCCCGGGTTGCCCCTCTGAAAACGGTGACAGTGCCGAGATTAGAGTTAGCTGCGGCAGTATTGAGTGCACGAATGAGTGAAATTTTGAGGAAGAACCTCCCAAATAGCTTTGACAAGACTTATTTTTGGACAGATTCTATGATTGTTTTGTACTATATTAGAAATACAGAGAGTCGGTATAGTACGTTTGTGGCCAACCGTCTAGCCATTATTCACCAGTATTCATCCCCAAATCAGTGGGGGTACGTTAAATCTGAAGAGAATCCCGCAGATTGGACATCAAGAGGCATACGAAAAGCGTGTGAATTAGCGTCTTGGATTCAGGGCCCCTCTTTTCTGGGAACCCGACAGTTTTCAAGTACCACAGACCTCTGCTGGAAGGAACCACCGAAAAATGTCGAATTGAAGAGGTCGGTCCGAACAAACACAAACGTTACTGAGCTCACTGCTGATCCGATTTTGGCGTATCATTCGGACTGGGTGAGGCTGATTAAAGCTGTGGCATGGCTTAAGAGATATGTGGTCTACATATCCGTTATGTATTCGCGTCGCCAAGGTGTGTCACTGAATGTTGGCTATCTAACAGCCGATGAACTGGAAGCTGCTAGACATAAAGTATTATGTATGGTACAACAGGAGGTATATGGAGAATTAATAAAGGAACTCCGAGAAAAGGGTAGTTGTGAGACTGAAGAAGGTGAATTGCAAAGGTTGTCACCTATACTTGTGGATGGATTGGTCTGCGTCGGTGGGAGGTTGAACTATTCCGACTACCCACTTACTTTTAAGCATCCGGTTATCCTCCCCAGACATCACTTCGTGACTGAGCTGATCATAAGGCATTATCATATTATAGAAGGACATACTGGTACTTCGCAAGTCCTGGCCACTCTACGAAGAAACTATTGGATAATTAAGGGGATCAGTGCGGTCAAACGGGTGATAAGAAAGTGCATAGAGTGCCGACGATTGAAAGCTGCACTGGGTCAGCAGATGATGGCCCCTTTACCGGTCTGTCGCGTGCAGAAAGGATGGTTTTGCTTCTCATCAGTGGGAATTGATTATTTTGGACCACTCATGGTTCGCCAGGGAAGGAGAGAGGAAAAGAGGTACGGGTGTGTGTTTACTTGTCTCCAGACGCGAGCCATACATTTAGAGGTAGCTTTCAACCTAGGCACCGACGCCTTTATAATGGCTGTAATGAGGTTCATAGGAAGAAGAGGAACACCTGCAGAGATATACAGTGATAATGGTTCCAACTTTGTTGGAGCGATTTCGGAACTAAGACAACTGGTGAGTGTGTGGGATAGACGACGAATCAATGATGCCATGGTGTCAAAGGGGATACGATGGAGTTTCAACCCCCCGCAAGCGAGTCATCGAGGTGGGATATGGGAAAGGATGATACGTTCTGTACGCAGGTTATTGATGGTCATATCCAAAGAGCAGACTCTGCATGATGATACATTAGCCACCTACTTCGTGGAAATAGAAAGAATTTTGAACAATCGTCCTATTGTTCCCATGACGACCGACCCAAAAGACGAGTTAGCTCTCACTCCCAATAGCTTATTGTTATTGAGAGATAGTGGAGGAATAGTCGTGGAGGGCACTATTGCCGATAATTACGTCAGACGTTGGAAACAAGTTAATTACTTAGCTGACGTATTTTGGCGCCGATGGATGAAAGAGTATCTACCATGCTTGCAAACTCGTCAGAAGTGGTTGGGAAGGAAAAGAAATTTCAAGGAGGGAGATGTGGTGATTGTGGCCTCTGAAAAAACACCACGTGGTTCCTGGCCTTTGGGAGTGATCGAAACATGCGAGAAGGACGAAGACGATTTAGTAAGAACTGTGATGGTGCGTATGAAGGAAGGTACCGTGAGAAGAGATATAAGAAAGCTTTGTCTTCTTGAGGGAGTAGAAGAAAGATAGAGTATGCAGACAGCTAGGTAGATAGAGCCACGGCTGAATACACAGAGGTGTTTTGCGTGTCTGGAGGGATTTTGGTGGCCGGTGTAAAGGAAAAATGATCTGAAAATCCCTCCCGATCACCCTTATTTGATTGTATTGACATTTATTTTAACATTTTTACCCTCGTTATGGATGGTGTACCTTTGACCCTCGCCGGTGTAATGTTATTTGCTTGTTTAACTGTCTTATTTGACTTTACACTCGGTATTTGCCTTTGTATGTTTGAGACTTATTATGAGTGTTTCACTTTCCTATTATGTGACGCTGGACTGTTGATAAGGTGATGTTGTTTTACTGCGCACGACATTTTGTTTTGGTTCAACTTACGGTTGTGCAGTGATTTGACTGTTTGTCTTTTGACTGTCTACTGGGAACGTTTGTTTGTTGATTTGATTCCTGTAGGCAGAGTTTTGATCCCTTTTGCCGGGAATATTCCTATTGACCGACAGGTATTTAACAGTTGTATTTTTTAACCAGTTTTTACCGTGTAGTACGTATTTGTACCCGAGAACGTTTTGGACTGTATAGTTACCCAACGGCACTGTTGAGGTATTTTTGTAATTTGACATAACTTATTGTTGCTTTGATAGTACCACAGATTTTGTTACGAATCTACTATTGAATTACTACAAACCGTGTTTTGATATTTCGATCCAACCTTTGACTGTGCGTCACTCGCGGAAGTTAGGAAGCTATACAGTAGAACGCAGGAACTAGTCAGATTCACGTCAGTTGGCACCGCCTAGCTATTTCCCGCGTTCAGGCCAAGATTATTGGATTCTGGCCGCTACAGTTATGACGCCATTCGAAGAGTGACCCCGTTTCCTTAAGCAGACACATTCACGACGTCCACCAAAATGACACCAAGTACTATGGCACCCTCACTAATCAACAGAAAGGTGGGATTCATACACCAAGGTGGTGAAAAGAAGGGGAACATGCGTAGGAATGTTCAGAACACGAATGCTTCCCGCAGTCATGAAGACAAGGGCTATAGGAAAAACGATAGCTTTTTCTCCTCACACCCATCTGCACAACTTTCATATCCAATGTATGCTCGCCCCAGTACAACGATATCACCTCCTAACTGGAGGCCTGCTGTTCAGATGCAGCCTCTGATACTGGCTCCCCAACATAGTGCACCCTACCCCTTCCCATGCGAAAGTGAAACCACAGATCAACTTGGCTCAATTCTGCAGACACCCATACCCAGGGTTCATTATGAAAACTCAAATTTTCGCGGACTTCAAAAACTATTAGCACCTTTTGCTGTTCAGATGATGACGCTGTCGAATCAGCTACTGTCAATCCTAAATCACAACCGCTACAGTGGCGGGGAAGACGTTACGCCAACCTGTCATCCTCCCGGCTCATATACAGTGGGTCAACACCTAACACAATAAAGGATATAAGTAGTAACCCTGTAGTATCCCACCCTTCTATTATGTCCCCGAAATTAAATTCTATCCCATTTTCCTCACCACTACAGTTCCAACTAACCTGAGAGAAAATGCTTTCCGAAAACACGTTTAGGTACTACTGCTTATCCAATTCTTTAACCTTCTGTCTGATTAACGCCCGTTCCATACGCAACAAAATAAGTGAGATCACTATGTTGTCGACTATGTCTAACCCCTGCCTAATATTTATCACTGAAGCTTGGTGTACTCCAGACACTCCTGATGGTGATGTCTCTGCCGACAATTATACTCTGTTTAGGGGAGATAGATATAATGGTAGAGGTGGTGGTTGCATCATCTATATCAGGTCCGACATTGCTGCGACAGATTGTCTTAATTCAGAACTCAATTCGCTCAGTGACTCAGTGTGGGTTGCGGTGAAGTTTACTAATGAAATAACTATCCTCTTGGGGTGTATCTACTGTCCCCCTTGTTCTACCGTAGATTATGATGACAGGCTTGCAGAAGTGTTCACCCACGTAACAACACTGCCCTACTCCATGAAACTTATATGCGGTGACTTTAATATGCCTGACACCAAGTGGCAGACACTTACCTCTCCTAAGCGGTTTGATAGTTTTATTAATGTGTTGGATTCTGGAGGATGGCGCCAACATATAGTGCAACCAACTAGACATAGTAGCATACTTGACCTAGTTTTCACGAATGGATTATTGCCTTTCACTCTTCAAGTTGGTGCAGAATTCCCGGGCAGCGACCACAGGGTAGTGTTTGGTGACTTCCGACTATCTCCCAGAAATGCGTTGGCTCCCAGGTCAAAAACAACCACAATTAGACGATATAAAAATACCATCTGGGAAGAGATACGATACATGTTGCGATGCTTGGACTGGAGCCCTTATTTCACCAGTAGGGGTGGTGAAGATATACCGTTGATCCTCATGAAGCTATTCTCAATATCCCTTACTGAGGCATGCTACCCTGACCGCTGGAAGCTGTCATACATATCTCCCACGTATAAATCT